AATCCAAAAAAGGTTTACTCTATGTCTATTGTTTCTGTGATCTAATGCCACGTATTTGTTATCTTACATAATAGTCTTTTAAAAAAAAAACTGATAGCACTCTTAAGTGGCTACAAAGCCATTTTTGCTTCTCTATTCTGTCATTTATATGAACAAGCTTCAGGCTTCCTGTGCTTAAAGAAGTAATGTTTTATGTAGGCAGGTAGCAGGGAATTAAGCTGTTTGGTAACCTCAAAGACATAAAATCAAAACTTTTATGCATTTTATGTACCAAGCCTTGAATAAGGCATAAAATGACATTTGAAGTTTTATTTTAGGACTAGGCTGGCACATAGTAGGTATTTAGTAAATTTTACATGAATGAACAAAGGGGTGAAAAAGCAAACGAAAGCCCCTGATTGTAGGTAACTAACAATGCCAGCTACTAATTAAATCAGCTTATAGACTCATATTGGATGGTATTGGTGACCTAGTTAGTTACTAGAAAGAGAAACAGGTTCCGAATTTTCAGCTGACAAAGAGTTATTGAGGAACACATAAGTATGAGTAGGTCTGCCAACTAAATATGATTGTTCTGTAGCTTAAAGTTAATGAATAGCTACTAAAATTGCACTGCTTAATGAAATTATAGATCCGTTTGTTGGTTTGTAGGTCAGGTTAGGTGAAGGTAAGTGGAAGGAGGTGAAGGAACATAAGAGACCACCCACTTCCAGCCCTATGGTAACTGGAGACAAAGCCTGGAGCCACAGCACAGTGCAAACTGGGGTTATCTCTCTGTGGATCCCAGAGCCCTCAGTAGGGGAGCAAGAAGAAAACAGAAGATATGCTTATCTTTGTCTTGGATCTGGATTGGAAAAAGAAAGCAGTGTCTCTCCCCTAAGAAATCTTAACTTTAGATCCAAAAACCATCCATGTGTGGGGTTGAAATTCAGACCGGATCTGTGACCTAAATAATTCTAAACTAGAAGCATAGTGTAGAATGATTCCACATTGCATCCCCAATACAAGTACAAATTCTTTCTAGATTGGAGCCTCAAAGGATTTCTACAGATAAAGTCTCAAGGATTATAAAATTCACAATTTGGAATCACTAAATTTTATGAAGAAATAAAAGTCTAAGAGGAAAACAAGTCACTCTCCAAACTGGGCATATTCAAAAAGAATTAGATAAAGTAATTTAAGTGGAAACATTATTAGACACAGTTGGATAGAATTGGATAGAAAACTGGAAGAAAAATCTGAAGAAATTTCTCAGTGAACAGTCCAGAGAGATTAGGAGGAAGAAAATGTAACAGAATGGAGTGATCAATTTCAAATACGTCTTATTGAAGGAGAGAATATAGATAATTGTGGGAAAGCATTGTTCAAATAAATGGCTGAGAATTTTCCAGAATTGTATAGAGTAAAGTTCAGTACCTGGCCACATTTAGTGAAACTGCAGACCATCGAAGACAAAGAGAAAGTATTAAAACCAACTACAGAGTACCTATACAGCGTTGCTGAGAGATGCACAGCTAACAGCAGCAGTAATGGAAGCAGTAAGGGTTCTTGTGGTAATAGTCAAGTATCTCCTATTGAACCAGTCCTCCTATACAAAATAACTACAAACTCTGGATAAACATTTGTTTACAAAAACGTCTGAAGGTTCTGGTTAAGAGGAGGTTACACTCAGAGGGGGGTGACACTAGGTGATGTTCCTGGTTTTATGGCTACTTGCACCCAATTCAGATAGAGATCTCACAGTGTTTCTGGCTTGAAGAGACAGAATATGGAGTGTGAAGCAAATACAAGCTGGAAAGGGAAATAGGAGATCTAAGAAAGGAAGGCGTCGGGAGGGGGGACCCTCAGATTCTGTGTAAGATGGTTCCCCAGTCTCTGTCTTAGTGGTACAGACTCCAGGTAGCTCAGAGTAAGCTGAGAATTCAGTTGCCTCTTAACCGCAGCTGGGTAAGGGAAGACAAGGGTTTGTAGTTGGGATTCAGCCAAGGTTACTGCCTGCTTGAGGAGAAGCCACACTCTTTGTAGGAACATAGCAGAATCTAGGGCCTCTTCAGTGTATCAGATGGTCCAAGAGACTATCCACAACGACTCAGTGCACAGAGAAACAGGAAACACAAACCACACTTCAAGGAAGAGACAGTCGACGGGTAGCAACCCTCAGATGTCCCAGATGACGGCCTTTGCAGGAAAGGATTTTTAAAGTAGCTGTTACAGTAACTGTGCTCAGGGACCTAACGGGAAAGACAGTTGATCCTTGAAACACTGAAGGGTTAGTTCGTGGGCCTTCCAAGCAGCGGAAGATCCACCTATATCCAGCTGCAGCCCTCCACATCCACAGTTCCACCCCCAGAGTCAACCAAGCGCAGATCGTACAGTGTTGCAGTATGTACTACTGAAAACAAAAATCCACATGTAAGTGGAGCCACGCAGTTCAAGCCCGTGTTGTTCAAGGGTCAACTGTATGTTCACGATGAGTGGGTAGGAAACCTCGGCAGAGAAACAGGATCTATAAAAAGGCACCAAATGGAAATTCTATACAGTGAAACTTCAGTATTTGAAGCAACAAGAATACAATGTGCAAAGGTTTTAAAGAAAATTACTGTCAGCTTAGAAAGTTATGTTTCCTCAGTAAGGATGAAATAATGACTTTTCTAGCCTAACAAACACAAAGCTCACTTTTACCTGTCTCATCTGGTTTCTGTAAGATGTACTTTAGGAAGACGCATGTATCCTGCATTATTTTACATGTATGCTATGTTCCCACTAACATGTTCTTTCAAACTCGGTATCCACAGCAGACATTTAATGGTAAACAGCCTA